CCAATCACTAGGTACTCTCCCAGCTCTTAGGGACTCCTGATAGAGTGCGGCTATCGCGGGGGCGAGCAATTGAGCCAGTGGTCTGATGACGGCCGGATGTAGCCCGTCGTTGCAGGCAGACTTCTTCACATTCAAGTTCTCCGAAACCTTGAGAGCACAACTAGCTGAGACTTCCACATCACCCATTGGAGGGGTGTCTAGGCACTTTCGTGGGACCGCACTCCCGTAGTCTATTTTATAGACATTTTCGAAATACCCCTTGAGTGTCTCACACTTTTCATAATCTGAGACAGATAGCCCACCTTCGGGGTTCTCCAAAGTACCTACCGATTGCCTTAGTGCAGTCTTCAGTTGCACATAGCAATAGTACCTCTTGGGTTCCTGGCGTGCTCTCTTGGCGATTTTACCTCAAGAGCCCTTTTCACCTGGTTTACTAGCTTCCTAGCTTAGTTTCTTGCTTTCTTATATTGTAGCCCTCGCGTGAGAACGATTGCCTTCCACCTACGAGCTCTTTCCCCTCTGGCACGTTTAATGGCCGGCTTCCACCATTGCGGTTTGTGGGTACCACCCCGAGGCTGCAAGGGGGCATGCCTCTTCGTCAGCTCTATTAGCTGGTCGCGGATTTTCTCCCATCGTTGATCCACGGACGCCTCTGTTCCCTGCGGGAACCATGCTCTGGTCTGAGCATCTCGCCTCAAGTCCGCTATGTTCATTCGCCCGAGATTGCGGCACCATCTGCGGGGTGGCTTTTCCTTCGCAATGTATGCTTCTAGTAACAATACGTTGTGGTCGCTTTTAACGAGGGGAACCTCCTGCCTTAGGTCGTTGATCTCACTCTCTTGCCGCGTGAGGACCAGATCGGAGGTGGACGGTCTCTGCCCTAGCCGGATACGCGATGGTTCTTTCACGTGCTGGTAGAGCGATGCCGCATGGAAGCAGTCCATGAATTTACGTTCTGCTTGCCCATCTCCCTCGTCTTCATACTCCCATTCTATTGCAGGTAGATTGGAATCCCCCACTATAATCGGCGAGTGATTTCCTCTACTGACTGCGGCAATGAGATTAAGTAGAGCTCGATCATCCTCCGGTCTAGAGCTTGGAGATCTGTAGACACCTAAGATGCAGAAGTGTCGGCCTCTATTTCTTACAATGCAGCCTTTAGCTTGCACTGTTGGTGTACACAGTGTTTGCTCAGGTATTTCCCATTGGATATATTGCCGACAAACGAGCAGTAGTACCCTGCCTCCTCACCCACCCTCCCTATCAGTTCAATAGTGAGTGAAGTACGGAGGGGCTAATCGTTCAACTGATATGGTTTTGGATAACCAATCACAAGATCGCAATCCTGGCTCCTAATCGCTAGCTCACCTCATTTGTTTCCAACGCTGCACACATTAGTGTACCACAGTTTCAGGCTGTGTGGCTGGAAAACCGGCGCCTGTAAATGTTATTCGCTCAACTTTCCAACGCCCTCGAGCACAACATCCGAGGGCCAACTACGTTTTTCAAAGTAACAATTTGCTCCATATCCTGCATAAACCAGCTACACTTGTTCTCGAGAGACTCTAACCTGGTGGGGGTTGACACCATTTCGATAACCGTATCATTGATTATCGAGCCACCTTGGTCTTCAGTTTCCGTGACCACCAAACATCTATCAAACGTCCCACTTTCGGGCTGTCCCTGGTCCCCTAGTTCGGCCATTCTTGCCTTTGGAGTCTGAGTAGACCTAGAGGTCACGATCGGTGTCAGCGTCTAATCAGCGACTTTAGCCGGAGTAGGTAATGGTTTCTTAGGAATGGTTTTCACCCCAGTCACTCTGCGCATTGGTGTCTGCTTCGGGTGCCACGCTGAGCGGTCGCCCTACCGTCCTCACTGCCTTAATTGGAGCAGTTGAAACTGGGGTTAGATTCCTATTAAACATAACAGTGTGGGGGCTTTGCTCTCTGCACCGTCGGTTTCATCCCAGCCTTTGGCTGTTTGCGGGATCCCGCCTTAGTTGCGATCTTCTTCACAAGTTTTGGTCCCGTGGGTACCAACTGTTTCGTCCTCAAAGAAGTCGAGGCAGCAACCGATGCATTGCTCAGCTTGCTTTGGTTTACCGATGTTTTAGCAACACCCGGTTTCGGAGAGACCTTTCCAAGGGATACCTTACGAGTCTCCTTTCCGGTGACCTTATTCTTCCCTGTCGCGGCTGCATGACCCTGACCTGGGGTCTGCTGTGATCCCTGCTTTCGGGTATTAGGTGTGATCCTTNCTCGCTCGATTTTCTCGCAGTTACTAAGCATCAGGTCCCGGATTGCAGGGTTTCCGAACTCCACTAGGATGGGCCTAGCCTGTCTTTGCTGCAGGCTGCCTACAGGGTCGATCAAACAGCCGATCCTCTGCACCCTCTTATTAGGAGTATGTGGGGGTAACCCAGAAAGTCTCAAGAGATCCCAGACCGTTCTATATTGTATGTCAGCCCGCGCTTTCGCATTACTGATTATTGGTTCCTGGTTGTTATAAATGAGGATTTTCCTGTTTCTTTCCATTGCTGTTTCGTTCTCTTTTTTCAGAAGTGACAATTCCCTCTCTAACGCGGTAACTTTCCCTTCTATCTCTTTTACGATTTTTGTCAGCCCTTCCTGCGAATCCAGTGAGTTCTGGATTGTCACTCCGGTGTTGCCTACATCCAGAGCAGATTTTCGACCGGCACCCTCCGCCAATGCTAAGCATATGTAGCAGAGCCACTGAAAGGCGTCTTTTCGTACGTGAGCTTCGTAGGCTTCATGGTCTAGGCGATCACATGATTGGTGGTACCAGTATCCACAGTAATCGCACTGAATACCGTCAGAGACCATTTTCTGGCACTAAAGAGATCCACAGCAACCTGTTTTGGCTATTGCAAAGCTAACAGTGTGCAACTACTTTCTCTACGTAAAATGTCTTCCTAACTGAAATCACGGATTGCAAAAGTAATACCCGAAGACTCACAGAATATCTTCGTTAAGCGGGTTTACAGGATTAACAGCCGTTTCAGCGGCTTTAACTCCTGAATATTCGTACCTTCGAGACTAGAATTTACCACTGTACCGGTGAACAAGTGAACGCAATCTTTACAAACTCCGGCCAATGTTTAGCTGCTGCATTAAGTGTAAATCGAGCACTGTTCCAACTCCTAAGGACGGTAGGCTCCAAAGACTCAAAGGTGCTACTACCACTGTACAAAACCCTGGTAAGACTGCATCTAGAGCATTGCGTTCAGTCTTGGGCTCCAAGCCTGGTTCAGGATTCCCAAACACTAGAGCTGGTACAAGGCAGGTTTAATCGGATGATAGGGTGTAGTTAGAAGAGGATATAATGTAAGCGCCCATCACACCAAAGACGTAGTACTTTGCATGCCACGAGCTGGAGAGTCTTTGAGAAAATCCACCCGGAAAGTACCAAAGATTGTACCAGCAAAATCACACGTAGAAAAGGGCTCACAGTAGAAGTCTAAAGAAGGCAACGCCGCGGTCCTCAAAGTAAGGTCTAAACCGCCATTAAAACAAGACAGAGCACCAAAAGCAAAGAACCTAGTAACAGCTGGCAATGGATAGAAGGAAGCCAAAGTGCGCTGTGAGGAACCAGTTACATGGGCGACAATAGTAGCCAACTCCCCAGTAGCTGCAAAGTCTCCAGCTCTCCGTCTGTAACGGAGTTTGAGTACTCCGAAGACCAATGAGGATGTAGCTATGAGGGTAGAGGAGGCTTTTGGAATGACGATAAAAGTTATATCCAGGAAGGAATTGAGATGGCTTTGGAAACGGAAGAAGCCACGACCACAGCCGTAAACCCCCTAAGAAATGGGGTAACGCCTTGGGCATTACGCTCGAGGATTCTTCGGAAATGAGCTCCGGATCCACCAGACATGCTCGAGCAGACACGGCCATACTGTGGTACGCCAATGCAGGCAGCATATGGGATAAGTGGGGAGAAGTACCACGNGTACCACGGCGCACCCCAAGTATAGGCATTGTGGCCATAACCGAATCATGGATGCGAAAGCACCACAGCAATCCGGGGATGGATGACTACACAATCTAGAAACAAGACAGGATAGATGGAAGGCAAGGGGAATGGGTTCTGATAATAATAGAGTCAGATCACCTGCAATGGGAGGCGGCAGCATCCCTAGCCACTCCCAACATACAAGTCATCAGTTGTGTAGTTAAAATTGACAGAAACTCATTAGCCGTCATGTGCGTCTACCGGGCCCCGCAGGTGAATACAAGAGAAGATCTGGAATTTATTGCCCAGCCGCAATTATTCCTTGCTAAGTCCAGAAGGGTGTTGTAAGTAGGAGACTTCAACATGCCCCAGAT